TTTTTTTTTTTGCTGAACGCCTGTCAATTCTGATATTTAATGATCGCGCGCCGATTAAGTTAATGTCTGACTTTAATCGAAATTACTCTAATTGCATTGTAAGCGACATATGTGCGTTTTTCATATATACCTATGAGGCGCACTCTACGTCAAACCGGGCATCTTTGAAATATCGTTATTTTTAATATTAAAAAAAAATTTTTTTAATTTATAATATATATTTTACAGATAAAAATATAAGACATGTGTTTCATGAAAAAAATTTGAGATTTTTTTTTATGAAGTTATGTTCACGCTTGTAATTTGCAGAAAAAAATCTCAAATTTTGTCAGCAAATTTAAAAAAAAAAATAAAAAATGGTGATATTTCAAGGATACCGATTTGACATGGAATGCCTCATACTTAGAAAATCGTCGTATATAATTATAACTTTCGTATATGTGTTTATTATTTCTACAAATGTTTATTTTTCTATTATTTTTATCTTTTCCCAGTTCTAAATCTAAAAAAAAATAAAAGTAATGACCCTGCACTAAATTTCAAATAAGTTCCAGTAAGGATTGTACGATTTTGCAGTGAATAGCTAGATATATACTAGTATAACCAGATATAAATTTATACATACCTTGAAACTCACATTTGGTCAAACTGTTGTCTGTAAAAGCAAGCCAATATATTCCAAGGTCATTTGAAATTCCAGATATATCCTAATTAGAAATATTGGTATACAATTAACAATGGTACAAATGGGATTGGCGTATTTAACCTTAATTCGTTAGTACATGGAAGTCCATATAAGTGAAAATATAGAATATGTAGATATAGACGTATAAAGTCCGATTGTTACTATTGATGGATTTCCAAATGAAATCATTAATGTGATATATATGGGATTAGCGTATTTAACCTTAATATATAGAAGTTCCTATTTAAGTGAAAATATATGGAATAAGGGTACAGAGATAGAAAGTCCGATTGCTATGAGCTGTGGATTTCGTAATATATATTGCTCTGATACTCTACAGTCTACATTATCTGTATTTCCGAATTATTTTCAGGATTTATTAGTAACAAATTTCCAAGTAGAAATATAGTAATAACTTTTACTGTGCAATATATTAAATAGATTAAACGTATTAAAAATGGAAATCCTTGTTTGAACCATTAGTATATATTTCCAAATAAAAATCAGATATAATTTAATCGTAAATTCCGGATAAATTCTTAATTACCTGAAATTACAGATATACACAAAATAGATTTTTATATAAAACTCCCACCAAGGCCTAAAAATTGATAATCCAAATATAATCATATTTGATTTTAATATATGCCTCAAATTTAGTTCAAGTAAAACCCTATATGTCCACATTTGTACAAATATGATCAAATACATTTTATGCCTAGATATACCTGAAATTTAATGCAGGGAATTGAGTTAAACCCTTAATCTTATACATTGGTACAATAATTTAATGGACTGAGATTAGAAGTTTACAATGTTTCTCACGTATTCGCATTTTTCCGATGTAATAATTTATAATAAAGTTTTTTATATTTGCAAACTTGATTGTATCTTTTTTTACTACACATGGTATTTTATATATATATATATAATATATAAAAAATAGCAATAATAACATTAATTATGTTAAATTTACACGTCAGTAATAATATTGAGTTTAATAACATAATTGCGATGTAAAATCTTGTATAAAAACGCTATAATAGTTAAATCTGATTTTATAACGCACTTTATAGACAACATCGTATTGTCATCTAGAGAAGACTTTTTTATGTCTTTTAGGTATATTTTACATTTTTTAGACGTAATACACATACCCAGTCAGAAATAGTTCCTCGAAAAGACGTCGTTTTGATGTCGAAATTAAAAGTCGAAAATTTTCGAAATTGTTATTGATTTCGATTGGTTGACGGATTTTTGACTCTAATTTCGATTAATTTTCGAGTTAGAAATAAAATCTTGAATTGGTCTAGCCCGCATAAAAATATACTACTAGTGTCACTAATACAATAAGTAAATTCCACAAGTAGTGTCACTAATAGTGTAATAGTGATGGAGAAAATTTCATTGAAATTTTATTGTGAAAGTAAGTATTATTGATTAGCATCATATTTCAGAGGACACGCGACAAAATTATAATAAAAAAAATTTCCTTTATGAAATTCGAGAATTAATTTTATGATACACCCATGCGCGGTTACCCATCCGAATCCGAACCTCCACACTTAGGCTGCGTTCGGAAATATCACCTGTAGGCCTATTCTGTAACTTTTTAACAACAATTTTATTAGCTAGGGATGTCGTTGCGCAGGTATTTTACATGATGAAAAAGCTGCGCAACGACAATATTACGATACCGAACTGTCGTTAAAAGTTACAGAATAGGCCTACTCTGGATGTCCCCGTGTATCATCTTATCCTTATTTAACATTTGGTGAATAACAAAGATAAAACGATCAGGGTTGATAGAAATCATGTTTTTTTTAAAAAGAACAAAACATTGTGTTTTTTTTATTCAAAATATGTTTTTAATGTTTTAAACATGTTTTAAACAATATTTAAAAAAAACATGTTTAAAACATGTTTAAAACAGTTTAAAACATGTTTTTTTAAATATTGTTTAAAATATGTTTAATTTTAGTTAAACTACTTATTTAATTTTATTTACATTTTATTTACATTTATTTAATTATTTACATTATTAAAACATCTGATATTTATAGGTTATTCTTATTTTAATTAATTTCAAGATCATCTTAAGATCTTAAGAATGAGATATTTTTCGATTGTGACCGGATTTTCACAGTTTTTAGTGTTTCCAGCGACCCCTTTGTTAATAGTTAAAATGCTTTCGACCGTTTTAATAATCATCGGTGAATTCGGTGATATAATAGTTTATACACAGTAAAGTACGCAATAGACTAGGAATAGAAAAAGCATCAAAGTTGGTATCTATTATGAAAAGTTTAAATTCTAAAAATTCAGAATAAGTCAAAAATAAATATAAACTATTGCCAAATTAGTTTTTAAATCAAGATTTTGGGTTTTTAATTTTATTCAATTTTTGTTTTTATGTAACAGATTAACAGAGAAAGAAAGTATATATATATATATAATATATTAAAAATATATAAATATTTATGATAAGGCCATTACGGTCTAGCGGGGATCTTGGATACTTCTAATATAATTAACGTGTGAATTTATGTACCGACGTTATATATGCATCAAAAATGGTTAGATTGTTTGTCAATTTAACTCGTGATATTACTGCGGTAGTTTTGCGTTGTAAGTCTGAAGGATTTTCGGCACGCATAAAAATCTACATTCGCAGTATATAAATTCACATGTTAATTATATTAGAATTATTAGAAGCATCCAAGTTCCCCGCTAGACCGTAATGGCCTTATCATTAATATTTAGTTTGAAATTCTCATGGTTCAATGTTATTTAATATATATAAATATGTTCATGCTTACATTATATAAAAAAAAAAGTATATTATTATATATAAATGTATAAAGATATTATTAGCCTAAAATTCGTATTTCCTTATTTTCCTTTTAAAAAACACGATTTAAACACTTGTTTTAAACATGTTTAAAATCTGTTCAAAACATATGTTTGTTTAAAACAGTACAGTGTATAAAACATATTTTAAACATTTGTTTTAAATACAAATGTTTTAAACATAACAACCCTGAAAACGATACATAGAGGCACTCGGGTGATGTTTCTAAACGCAGTCCTACTATGCTTGATTTCTGTGATTGTACGAGAACTGCTCCTTCAAAGAACCATGAACACCTATAATGCTAATGGACGTATAGTTGTAACATATCTGGTCAAAGATGTTGTGAAAGAAGCGGAACTCATATAGAAAAAATAATTAATGTTGATTATAGTAGTAATGTACAAATGATGATAACTTATTTTTAATAATACTGTAAAATATTATTTCTATTAGCTGAAATAATACTAATTGCTCTAATGATATATATGTATTTTTTTACTCTAATAAATTTTTATACCAAATATTACAATTACTGTCAATTATAATCCTATAGGACTATTATTGAAGAGTTATACTGCAATATATATAATATAATTATATAAAAGGGAATGTATTGCTTGTATTTCTTATCGTTTTTTAGAATCATGATTGTATCTAATTAGCTTACAAGGCTTACATTATTCTGTAATATCGTGCGTTCCGAAACTCATCCTTGAAAGAACATACACTTCTCCTGTCCGCAGGTGTGTGTATATATATATATATATATATATGTAAAACTGTTGACATATGACAGCCTGATGTTTTTTAATATCGTAGATTTTATAGCTTCGTCAGTGCGATGATTAATGAAATTGAGTTTTCCGTACAACGTAATGTGATTGTGATTCCAATGAATTTAAAATAATGATATCACAATGCACCACGAAGATGAGGTTGGCATATCACTTTGCGAAACGACTTGAGACGATTCGGATTTACACCGATTGATTGCCTGTGCAATCATAAAAAACGCTTTAATGAACAACAGTAATTAATCTTGATGGAAATAATTTTGGAATTTAAATGAATGCTAATTGTGCCGGATGTAAATTTTATATACATAGGTAAACGTGAAAAATCCTTGGTATCGTAATAATGAGTATACGAGTGCTTCCTGCAAAGATATAAACATCTCGATCGTTCTACAAATTACCTCTTTGTCTTGCGTCTTCTTTTTGTATTGGTCTGAACATGTTTTCAATTGTGTACAACTTGTGGTCGATGGTTGAAGATGTTATAGGTAATAATTTATATTAAAAAATAAGCCTTGATATATATTGCTATTAGAATTATGTAGTGCTATCTTAACAATTACCTATTATCATACCTATTACGATGATTAAATAAATAGCTCTCTTAACAATTCCGTTATGTATTACAATATTAAAAAAAATATATTTGATACGATTGCATGTTTAAATGCTTCTTGTTTCCATAAGTAGAGATTTTTTTTTGTAATTTCTATGTTAAAGGAAGAATGTATTATGACTGAAGGATGCAGTTTAATGGTTGTTAAAGAATGTACTTCGTATTATTTTCAGTTCAGTACATTGACTTGGACTTTACATTATGGCTGACATGGCTCTTAATGCCACTACTCATAACATTTCTACTCCCGCTTGTAATTGCGCTGCTATTGTACTTAACTGCCTTAATGTTGTACATCTATAAATTACACAGGTTTGAAAGTATAATTTATCTATCATAAACAAACATACATATTGACATAATTATAATTTACTAATATTAACTATAACGAACATTATATTTGTAAAGCCAGTTATTAGAATGAAGTAATTCGCTTTTAGAAACGACGTGTGAAAAGTAATAGCTTTTAACATATGTCTCTTTAATGTATTCTCTTTTGACAAAATCGTTCGTAACAATTCTCTCATTTATATACATATATATATCTACATAAAAGAAATATTTTCTTTCAGGGTTAGATTGAGAAATGCTTATGGTACTGCATGGCGAGACACAGCTGTTCATATGACCGCAGCTGTCTGGGATGCACATGGTTGGATTTGGCATGGTAAGTTCTAATTTAATAATCTGTCTATAAAACACTGGGCATTAGAATGCATTTAAATTAAGCTATATAAATTTTCAGTAGAAGATTTATTTATTAATATGAATATTAATATAAATAACATATAATTCTTTAACAGGATATGAAATTGTGGGCTTAGAAAATATTCCACAAGATAAACCAGTATTATTTATATATTATCATGGAGCTCTCCCAGTCGATATATATTATTTCACATCTAAAGTATTTCTATATAATTCGAAGCTAGTCCGTCTAGTAGTAGACCGATTTCTCTTCAAGATCCCTGGATGGTCCATATTTGCTGACATTCTGAAAATTATACCTGGTACAGTTCAGTCATGCGCTACTATTTTAAAAGAAGGGCACATGCTTGCTATTGCTCCAGGTGGCGTATATGAAGCTCTGTTTGGAGATTCCTATTATGAACTTATGTGGAAGAAAAGAATGGGCTTTGCAAAGGTTGCTCTGGATGCAAAAGTGGTACGTTTTCTTCAGAAATTTTGTACCATTTTATTTGGTTTCTGTTATAACAGTTGCTTCCCATTATTAGAGTATAGTTCCATTCTTCACGAAAAATCTCAGAGAATCATTTAGAGCAGTAAGTTGGGGAAGAAGAATATGGCTGAAGATATATGCCAAGACAAAGCTTCCTCTTGTACCGATCTATGGTGGCTTTCCGGTAAAATTAGTAACATATATAGGCAAGCCTATTCCATATGATGAGAATACTACACCCGAAGAATTACAAATAAAGGTAAATAAAATTATGTAAAACAAGTACATATTCCATAACATCATTCAAAAATATTTTACAATATATTTTCAGGTTGCTGATAGTCTTAGAGATTTAATAAGAAAACATCAGAAAGTACCTGGTAACATTACACGGGCTTTATTCGAAAGAATACGTAATACAGAAAAACATAAGGATTAGCAATAATCTCTCTGATGTACTTAACATTCATAAGAACAATACTTTTAGAAGTTATTTGACTCTTTTTTTAGGTGGAAGCATTAAAAAAAAGTATGTAATAAAAATGTTCCATTCGGTAAACGTTTTTATTACTCATACAATATAAATAATATTTATTTTTACATATTTTACATATTTGTAATTAAATATATATGATTTTTATGATAAAATTTATGATAAATTTATAAATATTTATAATTATTTATAAATATCTTTTACAAAAATGTACACAATTTAATGCAAGCAAATGCCATGTAATATAAAATAATTATTATTATTAGTATGTTGAATATGAAAACGTATAAATGTGATTATTTAATGATTATGTCCTTTTCTGTGCTCTTTTATCTCTCCTACGTTTTTTCTAGTTTATTAAAATTGTATATATTACATATTAATTTTGTAGGAAAAAAGATATAGATACAGAAAAGGATTGCAATAAATGATGAATCTATTCTTAATAAAAGAAATATATAGTACATATAAATTGCTTATTATTATCCTTTTTCTTTTATTATATAACAAATTAAAGAACAAATATATGTGGAGAAGTAGGAGTCAACGCGGTAATTATAGTGAGCAAATATAATAATAAAGATTCAATATGTATTACTCATTTATATTTGTTTTATTATATGTGAGCAGCCATATAGGATACTTCTAACTGTTCAGCAAATGTATCAAAAGTTCATAAAAATTATATAACTATAAGTGTATCTCCGTGTAACTATTTGTTAAGGATAATATTTATGCAAATAGTTTATGCAAGTAAAATGAGATTACCCAGGCAACAAAAAGTCTGAAACGCGTCATAAGACGTTTTTTGTTTTTAAAAGATAATGGCTGCGTTCAGCAGACTCAACAGTTTTGCAACCATTTTATGATTATCTATTGAGATAGGACCATTCTTCTAGATCTAAAAGTATGATCCAATCAGCTCGAAGGAAACTTCCAACAGTTGCAAAACGAACGTTCTGCTGAACGCAGCCAATGTATAGTATACGTAACGTAAACTGTACGTACATTTTCAGAACTGGTAGTGACTTTTGGAACACAGCCTTGATAATATAATTGCGGGAAGAATCGTCATTATTTAAACATTCTAAAAATAGGATCAACTGATAGTAATAAAGACAGTTAACTCTGGGCAAATTTTCATGACCACCAAAAAGGTCCTAAGAGCTCGGTGGTAATAACATTGGCATTATTAATTGTTTTGGCTGTCCTAAGGATAAATTAATAAGAATTTCACCTTCCTCAATAACTGTTTTATAAAAAAAAATAACAGATTAGTACAAAAATAACAGACAGTACGTAAATAAGGTAAACAAATAAATAAATAAGATAAAATTCTTGTTAATTTATCTTTGGAACAGCTAAAACAGTTGATAATGTCATCAACTATCTCGTCGGTACTATTATTAAAGAATTCTACTCTTTGAATATAGCGGTCAATTTCGACATATTTACGATATTCCGCCATGTGTAATCTGAAAATTTGTAGTTACGCATATATGTAATGCGTAATCGAATATGAGAAGAATAATCAACTGTGATTGGTCAATTTTCTACGACTTAAGACCCACGACCGCTACGACTTCTATTGTAGATCCCGCATAATACTACTATCCTCTTTTTGAGAGTGGGGGGGGGGGGAATGCGAAGATAACGAAGATAGGGAATATCGGATCTTTCACTTCCACAGTGTACTCGAGTGTGGTGCGCATGCGCTGTACACTATCTAAGTGAGCAGTAGATATTCGTTTGCACCGTGATGTTTTCGCCAGCGTTTAATTGGCGTTAGCAATATAGGAGTATTACATATATAAGTTTACAGGTTTGTACGCGTCGCAAGCTCCAACATGCTCCAACATGCTCCTACCATAGCTCCTACTTAGGGCCACTGGCTGCGTTCAGCAGAACAGTTGTTTTGCAACTGTTGGAAGTTTCCTTCGCGCTGATTGGATCATACTTTTAGATCTAGAAGAATGGTCCTATCTCAGCAGACAATCATAAAACGGTT